TCAATAACGGAAATAGGATAAAGGCGTCATTAACTTGAGGCTCAACGGGTAGCCACGCGGGCGGAAGCTAAAGCCGGCAGAAAGCCGGAGCGGGAAGTTTGAGTCCAGATGACGGGAATCGGCGCTGGTGATCCGGGAAGAGACCGGATGACGGGAATCCACGTCCGAAAACGCGGCATTGAACCGGTGGTTTGATGAACTCGTTTGATCTGGTGTTTGACCTGCTGAAAAGGCGGGGTAGACAGTTGATGCCCGTGAAAAATGAGATACTATTGAAGAAAGAAGAGTCCAGATGAAATCTGGAAAAATGGGGGAGATGAGATGCCTTGGAGTGGTTTCCGATGTGCTGTCTAAACGCCCTAATAACCGCTCTTGCCACACCCACCACTAACACAACGCATATCAACGCTCTTGCCGACCCCAGCAATATTTGGAGCAAAGATGCTTGGCCAGTTATTCTTAACATGGCACCCAGCCGCCCGCGCATGGCCAATCTCACATACTGTTAAGCCTCTAGTAAGTGATGGAAAACACCTATACCGTCAGCGATGAGACTAGGTGATGTAAAAGATCCATAGCACTAATAAGACATTAGTTTCAGGCCTTCTGCCTTGGTGGCTCCCTTCGCTTCTTCATGAACACGCATAGCTTGCTTAAACGGCAGAAAAAGAGATGTTCATTTACCCCGTCCAAGGAGCAGCAAGAGATCGCAGAACTCTGCGGTACGAAGAATGTTGTCGTGTCGGCTCGGCCAGGCTCCGGCAAAACGGCTACGGCTGCGGCTATTGTAGCCGCCCACCCAGAAAAGCGAGTAGCTGTGCTCACCTACTCAAAGAGACTTCAGCTAGAGACCCATCGACGGCTTCGCACCTACTCTAACTGCAAAGTCTTCACTTTTCACTCCATGGCCGGCCTACTTTTTGGAACCCTTGTCCCCAGCGACGCTATTTTGGCGCAGCAGAAAAAACGAGTCCTTGATCGCAACGAGCTTCCTCGGTGGGATTCCGCACCCTTTGACATTATTGTTTTAGACGAGTTTCAGGATTGTACCAAACTCCTCTTCTGGCTTATTAACTGCTTCATCCTTGCCAATGACCAGAAGGCGGGGGGTCAATCTGCCCGTCTCGTCGTATTGGGTGATGAGCGACAAGCCATTTACGGATTCCGTGGTGCCGATGACCGCTACCTTACTACGGCTCCTGAATTACTGGGTATTGTCAGCTCATATCCCTTTATCAAGGCTCAGTTGAATCGAAGTTTTCGACTATCGGATCAGTCAGTTCAGTTCATCAACAATACTTTTCTCAGTGGCGAATCATACATCACCAGCTCCAAGCCTGGGCCTAAGCCTATTATCCTGAGATGCCACCTTCGGAACAGCTATGCGTTGGCTAAGCAGCTGTCATCCCTGATCGAGCGCTACGGGGCTAAGAATACCGCAATTATAGCCCCATCTGTGGGTAAACGCGGGCTATTGAGGATGTGGTCAACATCTTGTCAGTGAAATACAGAGTGCCCATCAGCGTATCAATCGACGACGAGGTTCCTCTAGATGACAGGGTAATTAAGGGCAAGCTGTGTGTTTCTACAATTCACCAGTTCAAAGGCAGCGAGCGTGATCTGGTCATCCTCTTCGGCCTCGATTCCTCTTTTTTTGAGTATTTTGGCCGCGATCTTCCCGATGATAGATGCCCCAACGAGGTTTTTGTGGCTCTAACACGTGCCGCAGAACAGCTTGTCTTGGTCCATGTCGAGGAGAAGAAGCTCATGCCTTTTGCATCGGTCGAAGCTCTATACGAAACAGCCAGCATTATCAACATGACAAGAAATGGGAACCAAATTAAACCGCCCGATCCTCCAGGCCGACCCTTGAAGCGTGGGCTTACCCTGCCATGCTCGATCACGGTCCGAGACATAGCCCGGCACATAAAAGATGAACATCTCGACGCCATTGTTCATATTCACCTATGTATCCAGGTACAATCGCCTCTACCAGAGGATCAGCACATTAAACTCCCAGATGTCGTGATTTCGGACCAAGGAAAGAGGTTCTACGAAGCTGTGAGCGATTTGAATGGCCTTGTCGTTGTCGCAGCTTTTGAGCATGATATTGCTGGATCATTGAGTGCGCTTGGACTCGGCCAAGGCAAGACTGACACAATTCCTGAAGTCTGCTCACGGGAAGGTGTCTCATGGCTTTGTCGAAAGGCCTGTGACTACGAAGCTGCCGTCTCGGGCTATCTCCCGCGCAGCATCCATATGACAAACAGCGAATTCAATTGGATAGAACCTGACGACCTTGCCCTAGCGTGCAGTCGACTCCGGGGAGAGCTCAGCGGAATAGTCGCAAACCCCAGGTTCGAGGTTCAATCTGAGGGGAGTTTCAGCATTGATGATCAGAGATGCCGACTCGTTGGTCAAGCTGACATCGTGGCGGCTTCGCCTAATCCTGACGGGAACAACGTTGGAGGCGTTGAGTCTGTCTGGGAGATCAAATTTGTCTCACAACTTTCCAACCAGCATGTCATACAGGCATGTACATATGCCTACTTGTTGGAGCTCCCGCGCATT